CAGTAAGTTAGTGTTCCCAGGACCCTCACTGTAGCCATTTTTCAGAACTAAAAGCAGACGGCAAGAAAGTGCCAGATTTGGCACTTACAGGGTTATCATTACAGCAAAGGAGCGGCTCTCCAGCTGTAGGTGTGCATGTGAGTTTCAGAGCCCCTCCTAATGAATTTTAGACTGAGAATCTCATTCTCCTGGAACTATCACTTGAGAATCAGAGTAATTATTTCCTATTGCCCTTTGTGGAATACAGTTATAATTGCATTACTGTTAACGGTGTTCGCATTAACACTTAATTGTTAATGTCCTCCTAATTTGGAGGAAATCATCACCTCTTCATATTTCATTGCTAGAAAGAGTTGTTAAAGAGAATAATTTGAAGCTTCCAGATGGAGAAACAAGAAATGATGCTAGAATTCAGAGGTGGAATTTGTGGGATGATTTCTCTTTCTGGTATTTGTGTGTGCATGTTTGTTTTCTTTTAAGGTATTATACGTCTACTTCCTTTTGAGGTTAAGCCACAATGCATAGTCGTTCACTGGAAAGTAACAGGGATTCTTGTGGTGTGGAAACAGCTCTTGGGTGCATGGTAGAAAAAAGAAAAAAAAAGGGCAGTAACTTTCTCTCATAGCTGACATCCTGTTTGAGTGTTGAAAGACACATTAACAAGAAAAGAAAGACACCACTGTGGCAAGGTCAGCCAGAAGGTGGTGGGCTACAGGCCTTGACTTTCAGATGATTGTTAACTTCTTCCTTTACAATATACTGAACTGCCTGTTAGCAACCAAGCCATTCCTTGGCTTAGCTCTGCAGCAGGAAACTGAAATATTTTGAGAAGTCTTTATTCAGGCTTGCAAAAAAAAAAAAAGAAAGAAAGAAAGAGGAAATACCAAAATTATATCAATCTTTGAATCTGTTAAGGGGAATATTGTTTAGGGCATTTGAGGATCTGTTTTCTTTTGAGTGTAGGATGGGCAAGTCTGTACCACTGGTTTGGAACTTTCTGAGGGGCCTGAAAGTGTAATTGCAGTTGAGGAGCACGGAGAACAGCTTAGCTTCATGGATGCTGGGCCCGGGCAGTCACATGGGACCCAATGTTCGAAAGGGCCTGGTGTTTGGTTTAACGTTGTGCTGCTACTGTCTTGAAATTCTTAATAATGTTTTAACAAGGGGCCCCACATTTTTATTTTGCACTGGATCCTGCAAATTCAGAATGCTAAGTAAGCACTTAGCTGGTCCTGCTAAGCATTCATTGGTGGTTGCAGCAGAATGTGGTTTAAATTTTACCAGGTGTGCTAGAATCTATATTCTCCTCCATCACCCATAAGTAATTAAATTCTATGCTCCTATCAACACATAAACTGGTTTGACGACAACATTTCAGACTTGTTCTTTTTTAAAAATATCATTTAGTGAAGCAGCTGTATTTCCTTAATGCTTACATGATGCCAAATAACCTGCATGCCCTATTTTTTTTTCCTTTTCAATTGTTTTATTTCTACATCACATGTAGCTGATGGTTCCTTGTTAAGAAAATACAAAGAATTAATTAATGAGTTTAGTTTCGTGAGTTTTAATGTGTGCTTTCAACCAAAAGATCTGTGAAAGCTGGTAGAGTGCCAACACTGGTGAGGTTTTAACACTTGCACACCCAGGAGCACATTCCTTAATTTCTAAGGGTGTGATTCTTTAGTCCTGGAAGATTTCAGAAGCACCTCCAGACTAGGAGTGACTTCTTCTAAGGACGGTCACCTGGCACCATTCGGTTCAGAATGGACCTTTCAATGATTCCTGCTAGCAGAGCTTGATTTCTTATCAAGTTATGCACTGACAAGTGAGGAACTGCACCATTCATTTTATTTTGCTCTGTGACTCATTAGCTTTATTTCTCATAAACACCCTTCCCTTCCAAGCACAATCTAAAAAGTTCTGTCATTAAAAGCAATTTTGTTTTTCCTGCCTAAGGGTGACTATTTTCAAGAAAATATGTGCATTTTGACAATGTGAGTCTTGCCTATTTAAAGCTACAATCTTTTTTATTGGGTGATAAACTTTCCTTCTGACAAAACAAAGGAGAGTCAAGATTTCTTCCCATTTTAAAAATTGTGATTTTTGCATTTCTTCACACATGTTTTAAAGTACATTTAGCATAACTCTGCTTTTAAAAAGAATAGTATGTGGCTTTGTATGTTATCAGTTCTACAAAGATGTCAGTGGTATTGAGCATTAAGCGAAGTGTGATCATGAAAATAGAACAAAATGCTATGTTATAGTTGAAAGTTTGGCTTTAAGTGCTTCACCCATTATAGCTATAATATGATTATGAATTTCCTATGAAAAACCCTAAGCCTGATTTTGATGTCCACATGTATGTAGCCTGTGTTTGTTACCTCTTTCTGATGATTTTTGATTTGCTGTGCAAAGGAAAGGACCTTGGACAGTGGGTCACTGGTCTCTTTCCTGCTTCTGCCTGGGAAAGACAGCGTGGTAACATTTCCATGCCCTGCCTCTGGGTCTGCTGCCATTAGCACTCAGAGCTGGCTTTTCCTGCTGACTCTCACTCTTATATTTTACTTCTAGGTCAATAAAGCCCAAAGGTAAACCTGCCTGATGAACAGGCTCTGAGACTGGTTTTCTCACACTTTGGTTATCCATGTGCCAGCTTCACAATTTTTGCCATGTGCACATATCACCTATGTCAGAATTTACTTAATATATTTCTTTCAAATAGACACTGATCTTTTTTACCTAATTTTTTTCATGGAAACTTTATAGCTTTTTTCTAAATGTCCCTTTGCTATGAATGTACGTATTATTGTCATAAGCCAACAAGCCTCAGATCCAGAAGCCTGCTCTTTCTCTCTATTGAAAGGAAAGATTAGCCAGTGCTAGAGAGGTGTTAAAGACCTATTAGCACTATACTGAGACTTTTTTTTCTTGACTGCTTGAGAGAAGGTTCATACTTTTCTCATTACATCATCCATTGTTTGTTAATGCCATATCCACATATCCCCTGTAGTTCTCCTCACACTGCTAAAGGTCTAGGTATTCACTTTGGAAGTACTGTCCTAAGTGGTGAGATCTGATAGATGCTGAGAGGGCTCCTCCACCTGTCATGTTGTCTAAAATTCCACCATTACAGTCATTCCTTTAGATTTATATTTCGATTTTGTTCAGTAATTACCTATTTAAATGTAAATTACTCTGTAACCTCTTAGTAATCTTCTAAAGATTGGTTTTCCTTATTATTGAGACTAAGGCTCCATCAATGAAGATAGGCTTGAAATCTGGGCTGTGGAAGAATAAAATAAATACTTAAGACAAACCTAACACTCTTCCCAATTAATTTAGGATTGTTGTCTCTTCTTCAGTATTTCTCTTAGCCTAGTATAGCACCTTCCATTTGCCCCAGTTCTAGCTATCACACTTTCCACAACATTGGAGGCAAATGCCAATGCTTCTGGAGCCATTCCCTGATGGCCCACCCCAAACGCTGAAGCCTTTGTGCATCTCACCCACCAGACTCACCACACTAACTTACAGACTAGGAATCTGCGAGCTTGCCTCATCTCTCGTAGACACCGAGTGAGTGATGTACAAACAGGAGATCTGACTTCATTAACTGTGACAGAAAGTGAGAAAGGCAGGTGTCTCAAAGCAAGCTTCTTTAAGCTGATCTCATAAGAACATTCCTCATGCAACACAGCTGGGAAGGGTAGCATTCCATTCACCCAGATTTGGCCCTGGGACGTCAGCCTTGTTCTCCTGTGCATGAATCATTAAAACAGGCAGACATTGAGGCTTGCTGAGGTGTGGGAGTGGAGAAGGGAATCTGGGAGAGAGAAACCTTTTCCAGCATTTCAGCTCTGGTGCAGGGCTCTGCTTGAGCTATCTTTCTCCAAGCCTAGCTGACTGAACAGGGAGGATGAAGTATTATCTCTGCAAAGCATAGCAGTGACTCAGCATTTAATACCTGTACCTTTGACACATTATGGCTTAACACGACTTATGAGCTGTCTATTGTCTCTAAATCCACAGTGGAACTTTGGTATCATGACAGAAGCTTTGGCAGTGCAGGGGCAGACTATTTGAGCAATGGGCTGCATCTCTAAATAACTCGAGCACCATCTTTGGAATCAAGGTGTAATGAAAAGTGCTTTGGAGTCGCAAATACCTGGGGTTGGGTCCTAGCTCTGTGCTTAGGAGCAAGGTGACTTGATGTGAGTTAGTCTGCCTCCTCGGGCTGCCGGCTTTCTCCTATGAGTGAGAGCTGAAAATGAAATACCCAGTCTTGATTTCACAATGTGGCTGGGTGTAGTGGGCAAGGCATGTGGTTGCAGAGCACGCTGCACATGTCTGGTACCAGTAGTCGTGAACCTGAGTTCATTCCCTTTTTCTTTGTTTTTCAGTGAGGATCTCAGGCTCTATCCTGCTTGGATTGTGTGTGCATCTTTGTAAGGGGCCTTTTTCTTCCCCCGTGATATACTAAGACACCATGGCAGTACATTTAAAATGAGGGAACATCTCTGCAAGTAATCTGGACTAGCCAGAGATTGAACAAAGACTATCACCATGATTGTATCCCTACATTTCTTATGCTGCTGTGATGGATTTGCATGAGAATAAAACCTCTGGTAGTTATTTAACTAGCTATTTATTTGATTTTCAATTATGTTGCACTTAAGTTCTCAGAAGCTAACTGTCATCACTTCATGATCGCCATGTCGGCTTTGCTGTCATTTTGGCTCACGCTTTATGAGGCAAAGCCACATTTAGGTGGCGTCTTTGGAGTAAAGTGGTAAAACCTTGGTGTTCTGCCGTATTATGAGCTGTCCAAGACTCATTTTTAGGACTCACCTGTCCATATTAATTCTTCTAATGTTCTACATAAATTGTGACAGAACAAGATCCAGGAAACAGGGAGAAATGACTTCGGGTTGTCATGTTAGGTAACCGTCAACCATTATCTTTAGAGGCTTAAAATGTTGATGTTCACTCTTTCCGGTATGCAAGAAAAGATGGCCTTTGCAGGGCCTTGGAAAGAAGTGAAGGTGAAATCTGGTGTAATGTAAGTCATAATTTGGGTCACACTTGAAAATGAAAAGCTTTGCTGTCGCTGTTGGTAACCATTGGCCTAAGGAAAAGCAGTGGTTCAGAAACTTCCCTTGAATTGTTTTTCTTAAAAAAAAAAAAAACAAAAAACGAAAAACACAAAACCTCACACAGAATGGAAAGTTTGGGTCACAGGTGTAAACCCTTAGGCCGTGCTTCCTCAGTGAGCTCAGTGCTGGTCTCAAGGACAAAAAAGAGAGAGAAAAAAGGAGTTTTGCATTAAAAACAGATTTACCTCTCCAGGCAGAGGGATGGCTGTGAACACAGTCTCTTGTCAGGACACAGAGTGAAGAGGGAGAATTGGAAACAGTAGTTGTGGACTTGAGGTGTTTATTTTCCCCTCTCCTCTTTCCTGGCATGATGAATTTTGCTTATGGATTTGGTTTTGCTTCAGAATTCTTTCAGTGTGATAAGTGAGGGTTAGCTACTTGGGGACTGGTAGTTAATTTGAGCCTGTGGGCAACTCCCCTCTTGCCTGGGATTGTATTTGTAACGTTTTGCTCTGTAGGTTTAACTAAACTGTCAGGACAGCAGAGAGCTGAGTTATTGGACTTCATTGTGGAAAGCTCAGGCAGGAAATGAAACTGTTCACCTTAGAGAAGGAGCAGTGCAGCAGAGAAGGAGAAGGTCTGGGCTCAGAATCCTCTGTGATGCTTTGTTTCTCTGGAAAATTAAATGCAGAATTTCTCCCCTTTGCTCCCCGAGGATGTACACACAATCGATTTTGAAGCAGCAGCATCACCTCCATGTCTTGCCCCACCTTTGCTAAAGTACAATCTTGCTGTCTTTCATTTATTCTGGGGCTGGGGCAGGGGCAGGTGTGATGCTTGTCATCTTCACCAGAAGGTTTCCTGGGGCCTGGGTTGTGACAGGCGTAATGAAGATTGGAGGGATATTCTGAGACACATACCCCTGGAGGACAGCAGAGTGGACCAGAGCTTCCTTTTGGTGCTAAATTGCTGAAGTGCTGCCGGCCCCAGGGCTGAATTCTAACCAGCCCAGACTCCAGAGGTTAGGAGGTTAGGGGCAGGTTGTGCCTCAATTATTTCGCTGCCTCTTTTTGAATCTCATAAAATTCCTATTGTCTCCTCACTGTAGTCATTGCTTCTGGTTTAAAGATTCATAGTAAAACTGCCCAAAAGCTTTCCTGGGCTTTGAAATTATTTTCTTAATGCTTTTAACCCACTTCCCCTGCTGCTGTCATACAGAGTAAACCGTGATCTAATATGAGGTACTGGATGCCACATGAACATTCTCCCAGGTAGGTACTTAGATGCAGCTCGGTAGGTGTGACTTCTTGCCTTTGGAGTCAACATTAGAAACTTCAAATCGTCCTCACTCACAAGGAACCAAAGTGCATATTGTATTTGATGGAAAAAGAGGATATGGAAGCTTATGGAAAAATATAGAAAAGCTCACTCACTCTTAATGAATTTTGAATTGATTATAAGAAAATTCTTATAGCTCTAGCATCCCTGAGTTAATTCAAGCAAGTTTTAATTATTTTGTGCCCTGAATTTACATTGACTATCAGAATTCTTATAATTCCTCTTTATTTACTCTCTAAATTGTTTAGATCAATTGTTTTTTACCAAGTATCACAATTCCTTACTGAATCTGAATATTTTATAAATTATATATACACATACACAAATATGTACCTGTGTCTCTAGTTTTTATTGGAAAAATATTGGAAGACAATCCTGAAAATATTAGGTGTAGTAGTTTGGCTCTTTAATTCTAATGTTATTTTTCTGATTATAAAATAAATGTATTATTGAGGAAAATTAGAAATACATATATTTTAAAGTACACTGATGAAAGTCAGCTTTATTCATAATGCTACCATCCAGAATATATTATATATAAAGTCTGAGATATATGTGTGTGAATGTGTTAACATGATTAAAATTATTCTATATATTTTATTGTATTCTGCTTTTTAATTTAGTGATATGATATTTATTTTACTGGAAAAATGATCAAACTGAATTGCCTCAAAATCTTTGGAGAATGGTTGTGGTTAGATTTTAGAGCAAAAATAAAATTAAAGACTTTGAATTAAAGACTATAGAACTGGAGTTGCCCTTGCCTGTCCATCTAATCTCAGCCACCCTACCCCCCGCTTCATAGATGAGGAAACTGAACCCTGGAGAGTATATGACATACTCAGCATCACGATGGACGCCGGTGACTGAATAGGGACTACAACCCACGTCTCCTGCCCCCTAGCAAGCTGTATTTTCTTTCCAGTACAAATCGATGTGTGGTATTTCTCCTTATTCCTATTAATGAACTTCAGATTCATGAACCTTTGAATCTCAGCACAAAGAAAAGGTGTGAACCATTCATACAATGGATTTGGGAGTGTCGGGAAGAAGAGAACCAAACTTGGTTTAGCTGAGGCCACTGAGTTGCTTACTAGACAGATGTGATGCTTTTCCATCTTAGGGAGCAGGCATTCTGACTAGCACTGTCCCACAGAGCAGGGTGCAGCTTTACATTTTGCCAGGTGTTTTCATCTCTAATCTTATGTTTTTATCATCGCAAAGTCTCTGGGAGATTGGTAGGGTTAGTGTTTCCATTGAACTAATGACTTGATTCTGGGAATGAAAGAACATATTAGCTCTACAAGGGCCATACCCTGTGTGATGCTTTAGGTCTCACTCATAGTGTGGACCCATAGGTGTTTACCATGGAACTTTCTGCACTGTGGTGTTTATTCTGGAGCAACATTTCTATTTCACATGAGGCTGTCAGTTCAGCAATACAGCATTTGTCCTGTTTGTTCATTTGATGTCGACATCAAATAAAAGTCACAATCCAGAAGCTTTTTACATAAACAAAAGACGATCTTTGATTTTCTCTTTTTTGCTCATTTCTTCCCCTTTCTTTCCTTGCTTTCTTGCTGATTCTTTTTTTCTGCAAACCTCCTCCCCAGCACACTCTATCGTCCTTAGCTCTTCTGATCTTTCTCAGTTCTTCACTCTTTGCAGTGAAGATGACAACTTCATGCAGTTTTAGGACCTCACCGTTTTTGTGTGGGGTGCATGTGTATCTGTCCATCTGCATCCTGGCATTTTCTGGATTTCTACAGTGATCCCAGGGTCTAACCACACATGCCGCAAAAAGAACATTCTGAAGAGTTGCAGGAAATAATTGATGAAGAGGTTGCTCTGTGCAGGGCACACTGGAATTTAGTTAATGTGTAGCCTGAAGCAGAAAGTGCCTGGCTGCTTTCAGGGCCCTTTGAAAACATGTACAAGTATTTGGTGAGAACTTCAGAACTCAGTTAAGCTGTCTTTGATTCCAAAGATATCCCTAGGGCCAGTGAATAAATTACAGATGCTTTAAAAAAAAAAAAATTTACTCAATACCTATATTAAATAATTGATTCTTCATGAACCAACATAGCTAAATAGGTTAATCAAGTTATTGCTAGATTTGCTTAATTTTCCCCACTTTTAAAAAATAATGCCTTGTTTCAAGAGGTAATAACAGGATCTTTCGTTATTCTCACATAAAGTTAAACACTTTTGACCTACAGAAGCAATGCTGCATCTATAAGCTGATCTAGGTTCACTCTAGTTGAGTGCTGGTTTTCCCCTGTTCTCTCTTGCTTAGAAAACGCAGTCGTTCTCCCCTGTCCTTTCTTGCCTCAATTACAACCTGTAGAAAAGGTCTTTTTTTCCACCTCTGTATTTAATGTCTGACACATTGTGCCTCTCTTTAGGGATATATCGGCTGGATTCCCAAAGATGCTGTTTGGGGCTTGAACTCAGTGACTTACTAAGTGGTACCTTGCTACCCTTAAAGAATTCTACTGAGCAGCTTTCTCTCTACTGTTAGGCAAGTTCTGTCTCTACGTGTATATTCTCTGTCCTTGCTTCATCTGAAAACTACTTAGATGTTGTGATTATGGATATTTTAACACATGCTTTTACTGTAGTCTCTCTTTTTTAGGAAAATATTAATCTTTGTTCTTTTGCTTTTTCATTTTTAAATTTCAAGGTCTTCTGGAACCTGGGAATTAGAAGAGATAGGAGGGGTCATCACCTAATCTGATTCCTACCTCTTTTACTTAAATACGCAGGTGGTCAGAATTTGAAATTTCCCTGCTCTGAAAACACAAAGAAATACAGGGCAAGTTTCAGAGATGCTGGACTGTTGTGCCTGAGATTGTGATTGTTCTCTTTGGTTTTGATAGCTACACCCACCGTATTTGCATTACAGATGTGGAATGAATACCGTGTCCTTTTGTTTTTCTCATTGAATATCTTAGGATATTTTTCTAAAGGGGAGGGGTGCTAATAACAAGCTTATTTTCGCTTGTTTTAATGACGTAAGCATATTCCTCTAGCAGTCATAGATGCCCATGTGAAAACACAGCTTTCCTTAGGGAATTTGAAATTGATTAACATCTCTGATGAACCTTTAAGGTTTATGATAACGTTGGTGCCATTTATCTTCTCCCTCTCTTCTGTTTTTTGGTTAAGATGTCAGAAGTAGGTCAGTTACACTGAAAGCTACTTTCAGGGTTTTTTTTTTTTTTTTCACATTTTAAATTACAAAATACCTTAGTTTGCTCAAATTTATTTTTTTACCAAAAGAGTAAAGAAACAGCTGATACCTTCTCTTAAGAAGGAGGCTTTACTCACTCAAGTTTTCAATAAATCAGCTACACTGATATACTTGCTGTGTGACAGACTGCAACTGAGCCTCATTATTCATACATGTCTGTGTGATGTTACTGAATCAATTTGTGCTGTATCCATTTTGCACTCATGGATAGTTCACGGTCCCTTATGAGCAGAAATAGTCAGCAGGCAATAATAGAAGACATGGAGCAGAAATGGTTAGGGCCCATAATCCTTTGCTCCATGGTGCTAGATCCATGTCTTAAATTCATTTTCAGTGTCTTAAAAAAAAATTCTCGTCTCATCAATATGAGGATGG